AATCGCAGATCCAGAGATCAGGTTGATAATATTTAATCATTGTAACATGGTAAATACTGATAAAGATACAAGTCAATAAGTTAATTACAAGTAGATTAAAAATTAATACTTGTTTTTGTGAAAAAAAGATTATGTAAACACCAGATCGGTCAAACCATCTCTGAGAAATCGTTAAACACACATAAAAAACGAAATATTGCACCAACATTTGAAAACTTGATAATAGTCTAATAAAATGTTAAACAAGGCCATTCTTCTCCCATCTGTATACCGGACTAAAATTTGATTTACTTATTTTTTATGTAGGTATTTTGTATTAAGCATAATATGTAGGGAATATTTGGGAGTCCTTCGCGTACTAAGTGTGTGTGTGTGTGTGTGTGTGTGTGTGTGTGTGTGTGTGTGTGTGTGTGTGTGTGTGTGTGTGTGTGTGTGTGTGTGTGTATGTGTGTATGTGTGTGTGTGTGTGTGTGTGTGTGCGACCGGCAATCTCAGAAAGCCGCTAAACAAATTTAAAAGCTATGTTTTTGCTGGCTTGATTTACATTTCTCCATAAAGATGAGAATATGGTGTATTTAATAACTGCCGCGCACATATTATTGAGCCACTAATGCTCAGCACTTATAAGTAGAATAAGTCCTGCTTGGTTTCATTGGCGTGCGCTGGCCAAGTGGGTACACATAATGTAGATATCGTTGTTTAAACAAAGGATTTTTTGAGTCATGTATGTTTAAATACCTATTTGAAACACATGGTATTAATTCTTTTATGAATAAATGATTTTATTATCACAAGTACTTGATAAAAAAAAATCTGCCCTTTATAGTATGTTTTGCGTGTATAGTTTAGGTGATATGAAAAATGAAAAACAAATCGTCATATGGGCGCTAAGTACTAGCTAGGGAAGTGTCTATACGTATCGCTATCAAACAAATATTAATAATAATTCAAGCCTTTTGACCTCCACAATGCTGGACATGGACTCTCCATAATGTAAGGTGGATCAGGCCATAGTCCACTACGCTACTACGTGTAAGTGCTTCAGAATGCCTTTCGAAAACTAGTAAGATTCTTTATGATATGCAGGATTTTCTTTTACCCCATTACTAAAAGATTTCCCTACCCATGTAAAAAATAATTTGTACATGAACATCTCTGCAGTTCGAGACCCGAATTTGAACACACTACAACACGCTACACTTGCGCGTTTAAACGTGCGCGTTACCATTTGTCTACAGCTGTTTTTAACAATTAATAATTATATATATATATATATATATATATATATATATATATCATTTCTAATAATTTCCATGTTCCAATAAGTATTGCTAAATAGGTTTTTTTATACACAGTGCAGGGTGCATTGAAAAAGATGACACTTCCGCTAGCCTCTTACGATATTTTTGGTACTTGTTAGGACACTTCGTTTTTCTTTCTGTGCACTTAGTTGCTAATGTGTATACGCATATGATAACTGATAATTTGATTTAAATCATTTTTGTTGATGTTACTAGTGGTTCGCTCTGGTTTTGCCCTACTTTAAATTGATATATAATATATAATATATATCCATACACATATACATTGCTGTTTATTACTATGATGATTTCAATTTTGCTTTGTTAGGTAGGTATACCTACTTTTAGTGTGTTATGTCTAAGACCGCAACGTTTAGAAAATTACATTTTTTAAAACACTTTTTAAACACAGGCCAAAAAAAAACTTTTCTTATTAGAATCTTATGAAATGTAAAATGGTAAGTGAGTCAAATGAAAACAAGGTCGACCTAAATACCTATTTAAAAAAAAAAAGCGGCATTTTAATACATACCGCGTACTGACTCACCGATGTAGGTACTTCGAGTATCAGCACTGGCGACAAAAAAAAATGAGTTGATATAGAGCATGACAGGTACTAATGAGTCGATTCTCTGTCGCAAACTCGATTCAGGACACTCGCTGTAACTCTTTGTTTCCAGAAATATCATTTAGAATGTAGGCCATTGCAAATCATGAACATCCATACAATTAGTCAACATTTGCTTTAATAGATTGTCGCGATTTACAGTGCACTGTTCATGTAATAATCATAATTCTTTTATAAAACTAAATATATATTGTAAAATGATAAGATTACTATAAATCGACCACCTTATAAAAATAATATATTATATTTAAAATAAACACGTGTTTTCATTTTATTTTCTTGTCGGTTTTTATCTTGATATTTAAAATTAGTTTTATCTGATGTGTAGATATAATGCTTAACTTGCTTAAATCTCTTCTAATTATATCTAGATCATATTTTCAAAAGATCATACAAAAATCTTTATCTCTTTTAAAAATTAATGTATTTTTATTATATTTTAAAAAATAACAGCTAATTTATTTGTTTACTACTTAATTTCGTATTTTCTCTTAGTTTTAGTTTTTTTAGTAGATTACTTTCACAACACATCAAAGAGAATTCGCGTACAGAAAAATACTATCTCGAAGTGTTATTTTTTTACAAAATATATTTTAACATACTTTAGGCCCAAAAGATATTTAAGCTAATGATATTTTGTTGATGTTTTATTAATAGTAACTAACGACTCACCCTCGTTTCGCTCGGGTTCGTCCCTATCTATTCAGTACGTTATCCTTAAAAGATAGACATATGCCATCGCGGACTTTTTTGTACACCTATATCCATACTAATATAATAAATGTGAACGTTTGTTTGTTTGTTTGTCCTTCTTTCACGTCGAAACGGAGTGACGGATTGGCGCGATTTTTTGTGTGGAGATAGTTGGAGGGCTGGAGAGTGACATAGGCTACTTTTTATCGCGGGAGTTTACTTAATTCCTACAGGAAATCACGTTATACTACAAACCAAAAAAAATATTTATATAAGAAAATTGGAAAAAGCAGCATGTACATAAATAAAATAGATAACTAAAGGCGGATCTTTATCAGTAGCAATTTATATGTATGTAGATTAAGGCCATATCGACATTATTTTCTATGGCAATAGATTAAATTAACTTATTTCATTGTGGAACAGTGTGTGCGCTAAGGTATGTACATAAAGACGAGAAATTCTAGTATGGCTAATATTAACAAATCACCCGTGTTAGACTCGTATCATCTAATCTCTTAGATTCTCGATATTCTAGTGCAATATAGACAAAAGTATTATGAAAAAAAAAATCTTATCTTACAGTTTTCTAGTTCATTGTCGTCTAATATGAATAATAGACTTATTCCAATATTAATTAATTTTTCAACTTTTTTAAGTTTATCATTTAACTAAATTTGAAACAAACCATTTTCTCAATACAATTATATATACTATATATGATAGATACTTGATTTTTTATTGATAAAAAACGATAACAATTTCATTGTATTAAATATCGACGTCACAGTCAAAATTACTCAATAAATTAACTGTGTGGCTGACGTATCCAATATCCATGTTTGCTTACTATATATAAGGTCAAAACTCAGTAGACTCGTGTATGACGTTTGATCACGACCCAAAGTCGTGCACGTTAGCAACAGTGCTATCACAGAAGGTCACTTCTTTATCAGGACCTCTGTGTGCATCTCGAACAGACAGTATCGACAGATAAGAAACGAGAGAAATGTAATAAATCATTGCTTATAACAGCAAAGGTATTATTAATAAGGCCGGTACTGATAATACGTATTGTCGATTAAAATTGATTAATCACACAAATCCGACTCTAAATTTAATATTTCTAGAAACATTTTGGAAATTTCGAGTGAAAGTAAAACTCATTAATCCAATTGTTATTTAATCTATATTTAATATCATTATTTACCACTTAGTTCATAACATAGTCCCGTAAAAAATCGAAGTTCAGATCAAGGTTTTTTGTTGTACATTGCTGGAACTATATATATTATAAAATATAAACATAAACTTAAATTGCTTTTATTATAAAATTACAAATGGCCACTAACATACATGTTGTTTGTATATTGTAGACTAGCATTGCCCGCGGCTCCGCCCGCGTTCCCATTACCAAAAACCAAATTCTTAGGCTTTACATATTCGATACTCTTACAATGCACTTTTTGTATTTTTTCTCAGAAATGAGATATTATCCTATCCTATATGTTGACCCGAATAATCAGCTAACACCATACCAAATTTCATCAAAATCCCTCCAGTGCTTTTTCTGTGATGCGGTAACAGACAGACAGACAAAAATTCTAAAAACTATAGATTCGGCCTCTATATCGATAATAATGTTTATTTCAATAAGATTTTCCAAAAAACATTTAATGTACAGATTCGGTTTAGTTACAATTTTATTATATGTATAGATTGTTTATTATCTATATGAGACTAATCACTTCCACAGCAGTGACGATATCTAGTCTAAGGTCTTGCATTATTACTTTATGAAAGTTTTCCTTAAGGAGCTTATTTTATTCATTTCCTTTAAAAAAACTTTGAAATGATTACATCATTTGTAAAAATAGCAGGCATAACAAAACGCATATACAAAATTATATATATATATATATATATATATATATATATATATATATATATATATATATATTATGCATATACATAACAAAATGTATATAGTACAATTATTGAGTTTTTATGTTTACAAATAGGTACTTATCTGGGTCCGTTTGCGATTGCTATAAGCTACCGTTTTTATATTATATATAAACAATAAACATACTATACTATAATAATTGGTAATATGAAATTATATTTGTCATGTTCTTTGTAAGAGAAAACATTGATTATAATATGTTATGATAATTGACACTGTTGTATATTAAAGAAACAAGTTGAAGAGGAAGTCCTATATGAGTTTTATAATATTTTTATGGGCTATTTAGAATGTTTCTAGCATAAACAGAACAGAATAGTGGTTTATTATGTTTCAAGGAGAATTACATTTCTTAGATACTAATTTCTTAGATTTTCACTATTAGAAAAAATCTTTTTTTTTTTTGTTTCAGACGATGCATACATGAAGCTGGCACTGGAGACGGTCGAAGAACTCGACTGGTGCTTGGACCAGCTCGAGACAATACAAACACACCGCTCCGTCTCTGACATGGCGTCTCTGAAGGTGGGTGAAATATTAATAATATATTTTATTTAAATATATTTTTTTTCTAACAATGTCGGCATATAATAAATTTCAAATATAAGAACCCTAAAGATTCTACTTTGATGTAGTTAAAAGAAATTGTATCAAGTGTCTCCGTAGCTCTTACGTCCATATCTTTTTTTGCTAGTGAGAAAAATAAAAAATAATTAGAGTCCCTTGAATGTTTTAAGGCCAGTTTAATTCGTCACATGAAGTATGCCGTCATTTGTCAACGTTCCCCAGATCTGATGACGCTCTTATAAAACTCAAAGTAGGTGAACAAAGAAATTGACATTATAAATATGTTTAAAGTTAAAAAATATTGTAAGGTAATCGGTGCAATTTTCATTTTGTTAATTGTGGGTAGGCTGTCTGTAACAACTATACCTTCGAGACATGTAACACCTCAGTCTCTCCCGTGACCATGGATGCCGTAAAGCAATCGAAACGTCGGGAACCAAAAATCAAAATAAATCCGCGAAATAATCCGAAAAGATAGTTTTATTTAAAAACAAATATTCGCGTAAATCTAAGAACGTATTATAGAAATTGACATGTTACGTGTGGAATCACATCTCACGTGATCGATGAGTGTATGTAAAAAAGACATTTTCCGGGATAGTCGTGTGATTGATGTTTCCGTTTTTGAGTTTTAGATAGCGATACATTGATTTCTGCGAAGTTTGATGATGTTTGATGTTGATATAACGAGATTGTTATACTTTAGATATTTTTTCTGTGATAGGGAAAGGTGATTCATAATTAACAAAGAAACTGATTATTGCGCAATAAAATGATAGTAGGTACCGTACTACGGCACGATTAGTAGAGTAAATAAAAAAATCTTTATCTCTTTTACCGAACGGGCTTAAAATGATAAAATAATATATGTATTTATAAATAGGAAGCAGTTTCTGTGTGATAACAACTTGGTAATTATTGGGAATAGTTATTTACTTTTCATAATTTAGCCTTTTCGCCCAAATAATATTTATTCAATGAGAGAATGCGGCTAGCATTCTTATTTCTTGCCACTATTCCACGCGGACGTGTCTTGTACAGTAATAAGTAGTTCATTTGTTTTGTATATATATAATAAGTATATTTGTAATTTTCTTTATCTATACATATAATAAAATTGTAACCAAGCCGAATCTGTACATACCTACATTAATAATTTTTTGGAAAATCTTATTGAAATAGACATAATTATCGATACAGAGGCCGAATCTATAGATTTTAGAATTTTTGTCTGTCTGTCTGTGACCGCATCACGGAAAAACCACTGGAGGGATTTAGATGAAATTTGGTATGATTGTAGCTGGTTATCCGGGTCAACATATAGAATACTTTTTACCGCGGGAAAATGTCTCATTTCTGAGAAAAAATACAAAAACTGCAATGTAAGAGTATACTAATATGTAAAACCTAAGAATTTGGTTTCTGGTCATCTTAACGCGGGCGGAGCCGGGGGCAATGCTAGTTGTTAATATAAAAATATAAGAGCTAATATTTACAACGGTTTGGAAAGTATTGATCATTACTTGCAGGATAAAAAGATAGAGCATAATGAATCGTAACTCCATCATTAAATGTAACTAACTTTATCCACGGCCCCGCTCGCGTAGTTTACTTGTACAAAATTGCTATTCTCTTAATAGCATTTTATAAGATCTCACTCAATTAAAAGGCTATAAAATGCAAATATAATTTACTCACTTTACTGGTAATTGTATGAAATAGGGGTTAAATAACCAGAAAAAAATAAAACCGCGATTAACAACAAATATATATAATTAAAAATAAATATCAATTATTTTTTGTATAAATGTATTACACGTACATATGTACATGTAGAAATAATTACTTTTGCTGAAAGCTCTTTTCATTTATTTTGTGTCTTTTATTATTAATCTTTGTACCAACTGCCAGTTATCACTTATCATGATCAGTTTACACTTCACATTTCTTTAAATTTACAAATTATACGACTGGTTTTCATTAAAAGATTCAAGTAAACATGTTTTAAATAAACACGTCGAATTTTTTTAACTGTACTATATTTGCAATTTATCAATTTATTGATAAACCTGTTTCGTGTCATGTCAAAACTTTATATACCTTTCATAATATAATAATAATCAACTTTTCAAAAAAAACTATTTTTTTTTACATTTTATTCGTTTAATTAAAATTTAAGTAAAATATGTTAGTGCGTACATTTACTGCAACAATATTAACAAATATTATCTGCTATCAACGTATAGTTTATTACAATAGAGATGGTCTACATAGATATAGAATATGTTATAACTATAATGAGGTTAAAAGCAATCATTTAATCTTTAAGACTCATTTACGTGATGACAGTTTATTGCATTAATATTGGCAACAATCGCATACATGAAGCGCAAAAATACCTTCAAAGTATTGAAAAAATATTTACATACGAACAAATAAAAACAATTTGAATGTTGGGATAAATAAATAATAAATATGTTGGGACATTAACACACAACACCATCTAATTCCATGGTAAGCTTCGAGGCTTGTGTTATGGATACCAGATAGTTGATACACTACTCATATATAGCTTTAAATATATACATATTATAAATATAAACACCCATGACTGAAGTACAAACATTCATGCTCATCACACAAATGAATGCCCCCAGCGGGACTCGAACCCGCGACCGCTGGCACAGAAAGTAGGGTCACTACAAACTGAGCCAAACGTGTCGTCAATGTTAAAATTTATTCAACTCTGAAATTTTATCTTATAATATTAAATGAGTGATTCTTGTATGTGCATGTATATAAAATTATTTAGTGTATCTGGGAAATGTCTCTGATGATTTGGATCAAATTTTGTATTTAGATAAGGTTTTGCTTTTTAAGTTTTTCTAAAGAGGTGTATTTTTCGAAAAACACTCAATTTTTCACAAAAATGTATTTTTTTATAACTAATTGTTATATTGGAGCCTTTTTCTATATGCGGTGTGTACCTAAGCTTTTTTTTAACGTTGGAAAAAGCATTTACGCACGAGGTGTAGGACTCACCGGCAAAACCAGTTGGTACTACCCACTAAAACTTGCACTTTCTTAGCAAAAACGCTACAAATCAATAAGTACATACTCATGACCACTAAAATTACTGTAATATATATAATTGTAGGCAGTGAGGAAGAAACTAGTCTAAATAAACAGTTATGAAGGACGGTCTGTACTGTTCAAATCACTAAGGAAAAAGTAATGGTTTCTTAATACCTAAATATAGTTATGAATAAATTTTAAAATAATAATCATTTTATCACGATATTGTTATTACCGATAAATTCCAGAAAATGTCGTAATGAACAGTCGAAGATTTTTTTATGTCTAAAATAAAATAAATAAATACAATATAAATTAGTTTCGTAAATGTTTTTCGTAAATGCTATATATATGGATTAGTGTCAAAAGTGGGTCGTTCACTAATAAATGACTTTTAATCCCTCCACGACCGCGAACACGCTGACGTATTAGTTAACAATAGATTTCTTAGAAATTTCATTAATTTCTTAGAAATTTACCTGGAGGTGTTAACACATTTATTAAAAAAAAGCGTCATGAGAATTGCCGACAGAAGTGAAAACTTAAAACTATAAACAGACAGTTGTTATTTTTGGATATTCAAATTAGTTGTTAGCGTTAACACGTCACGGAACCATGTCGATGACGACTTAAATGAATTTACTCCATATCCAAACCTGCCTGTAGAAGTTTTCACTTCAAAAAAACGTAAGAATTTATACTTCTTTGGATTAACAGAACAAAAATAGCTAAATATTTCATCCCGTATGTCACAACTCTCTGTTTGTAAAAGGAATGCAGCTAACTTCATCATGTCGCTTTTTGGCTGTCGGTGTGCGCGTGCATCGTAAAAATTTTGCTCTCATAATTTTTTCAAACGTGCCAAAAGAAATAAAATTTCAAATATATGTACATATTTTTCATATTAATATATTTAGATTTTTTGTAAGCTCGAATCATATATTTTATATGTATTATTTTACTTCACTTCATCTGGCATAAAAGGTTATTAAAAAGCCATTTTGTTTTATATGAAAAAGCTTTTATTAAGCTTTTATAGTGCCCGGTTAGCCGCACAATAATAATTAAGTGTACTAGCCTAAATTAAGAATAAAAATTGTATTACAATACACGTATACGTGTAGAGTGTATTTACTAACCTCTGTCTTTTTTTAAATATATAAGTATTTATTATAGCTTAGAGGCCGTACTCTGTAATTTAAATAAAGCTCATGAAAATTCGTTGGCTCACTATTACAAGGTTCTATGTTACAATTTTAGTACTTATTTAGTTATTCATGCTACAAGGTTCTATGTGTCATTAGCTACAGTTTTGCAAAAACAAACCACAAGATAGCGGCACTATAACTACAAAATATTCAATTTTACATAGTTCTATGTTGTTTTTTTTACCATAACAAAATAACGAAGTTCTATGTAAAAATTACTAAACTTCATTAAAATTAACATAGAACCTTATAATAGTAAGCCAACGATTAATGTCTAATAATATTTCTATTAATGAAAACGTAACCTTATCTGACTTATCTCTTTTACTTAAAGTGTTACGGCTATTTCTTTAATGTCAATGTTACAAGGAATAAATATACAAGTGATTTTCATTTCGTAGAAACTTTCTCCATAATAGCTTACAAAATTAGCGTTATAGCGCTAAGACGTCATGAAAAATCGATTGCTCTGACGTCATGACGTTTGGGATTTGTCAAGATGTTATACGATGGCGGAATATTTTACATTTAATATTTAATAATAAGAATTTTTATTCTACTTTATTATTTATATAATTAAAGTTTATGTACGTGCGCCTGAACCTGTGCTGCGTAAATATGAATAATTAAAAAAATAAAGTAAATCGACTTAGAATCGTAAATTATATTAAAATG